CTAATATCTTTTTCTTTCATGTGGTGATTTTAATCACGTAAATTTACGTCCCTCACACTTCTAGGCTTCGATGATCTTGTCGCTTTCAATACTCGTGGAGATGACCTCTTAATCATATTCTGACCAACCATAGCAAGCTATTTTGCGTTAAAAATAGGGCTACATTGTCAGGTTCTGATCATTCTACTTTATTGGGCCTGCCAAAAATGTAATGAACGTCTAAACGTGCGCTGTTAGCCAAGCCTGAGAAAAAGGTTAAGGTTTGCAACACGTCCGCACAAAACATCCGCCTGCTTCAGACTTGCATTTCTTATACTATCCCCACTTTCTTTAAACAATCGAATGTTGAGTCCTGTTCTTCCAACCTAGACGCGTTTTTAAATGAAATTTTTTATTTTTGCTGTCCTCTTGATATTTTATTGGTACGACCGGATAGAATTTTTTCTCCCTATCTGAAATTCTTAAGAGGAACAAATGAACTCCTTTAAAAACTAGGCTTACGTTACAGTCTTAAGGACAATACCTCCTTAATAAAAACAGAGATTGACAGGCTAAATAACCTGTTTGTTAGTCAACTTTTTATTTCTTCTTCCTTCCCCCTTTGGCCCTTCCTCTGCTAAATTTTGGAGGAATCTTAAACGTCTCACTGGCCATCGGAACACACCGATACGTGCGGGTGCTGATTAACACACCTTAAATAAAAATTTTATATGTAGTCACAGTGGCTCCTATCTTCCCTCAGATGACTTTGCTCTATCATCATGTGCCTTTCAACCCGTGTCTGTGACAACAGAAGAGAAACACCTTAAAAGGGTCCATGGATCAACAGCTGCCGGACCGAATGGCGTCTCGCGTATTCTTCTTAAATCTTGTTGCTCCCAGATAGGCCCAATAGTAACGCACCTTATTAATATTTCTTTAATGGAGTCCAAGATTTCCAACGTCTGGTGTACAGTGACAAGCACTTCTATCCCCAAAAGGCCCACTTATTTTGGTCCTTAATATTTTCGTTCAATTGACTACTCCTCCGCACTACTAAAGCTTGCTAAAAGAGTTATCCTAGATATTATAAAGCCTTTTTCTTCCAGGTTTTCTGACCCGTTGCAATTTGCATACAAAGTCAAATGCAGTACTTTAGATGCTGTTGCACTTGTGGTCCACTCTACTCTAAAAGAATTGTACAAAATTTGCTGAGAGTACGCATGCGCTTTTCTCGACTACTCCTCCGTCTTCGATACCGTTCCGCTTCCCTTTCTCCTTACCAAAACATCCGCTTTCGGCTCTCCAGACTGGGTCTTCTCTTGGCTTAATGATTATTTTGCCTCCCGCACTCAATTTGTCCAATCTGGCAAGCGGAAATCCATGGTCCTTCCCAATGACTGCGGAGTTCTTCAAGGTTCCATTCTATCCCTCATTTTTTTCCCTCCACGCCGACGATCTAAGATTTCCTAACGGCTGTCTTTTGGTATGCTGATGATGTGGTTGCTGGACACCCTCTCAAAAGTCAGACACACCTCCAGTCTCTAAAGGATGGGCTAAACAAGGTCCTAGTATGGTTGGAGGAAAATGCTCTCCTAATGAACAACCAAAAATCAGTTCAGTGTATTTTCCAATTGCGACCCTCTCCTAGTCCTGAATACTCTGACATCCTTCCTAACGAGGTATCCTCTTAGAGGTACCTTGGCGTTACTTTGTCCTCAAATCCTTCATTTTCCCTCCATATTCAGTCCCTATTTACTAAAGACCGTAAACTGCTATATTACATTTGCCGTTTACGTTCCTACCAAACACCTCAACCCTTAGTCTGGCGATTCAGCGATGCCTTCATCCTTCCTCTTATTCCATGCTGCTCTCCTGTCATTTTTCCTGCCTTGCTCAAAAAAGATCTTTTAAATTTGAAACGAGTCCTCCGAATGCTCTCTTCTGCTGTTGGTGTTTCTTATCGTTTTAGTCGACACTATCCTACAGCGACATTTCAATACGATCAAGCCATTTGCTGGTCGGATTATAAATGACGTTTCCCGTCCCTTGCATTGTGAACTTATTCTTGCAAAGTCTTCCCGCCCGATGCGCCGCAGCTTCCGACTTATGTCTTGTCGCACATCGGCTTTTTGAGCCTCTGTATTGCCATTCTTGGCGCGCTATCCTACGTGTTGAGAGACAGAAATACATAAGCCAAAACCTAAACTGTTTTAGCCGTAATAACCGTTCCTTTTGTGTTAAACTTTTTGACTCTCAAATAATCTATTAACTTATTTACTGACCATAATGAATGGAGCCAATTTTTGATGAAAATTTGGAATTTATGATTTAAAAATTAGGCGAATCTCTCTCTCTCTCTGTGAGAAGCTTCGCAATACGATGAATTATCAGTGTGGCAGAGACGGAAAAATTCTTCCATGCAACCACAAGACCACGAAGGATATTCGTCCTCTTCACCATGCATGTGAAAATTTGGTAATTTTCATTGAGTGAAGTGGTCTGCCGACGTGATCTGGATGCGGATTACATGCATTACTGCCAGACGTGAAATTGAAAATTTTGGCAAATATGCGTGTCAAGCAACGAGCATCGTATGCTATAAATACTACAAGAGATAACATGTTTGAAAAGCGCTAATTTCCCCTTCTGAAGCTGCAATGCCTGCGCACGGGCATAATGAATTATAAAAGAGCAGACTGGGTCTCTATTAGCTTTTACTACGTGTTCGCCGTTTTGGACTAAACACCCTAATCATTTATACATATATTACCTTATCTACCAATTGAGAGTACTGTTCTTCAAAGAAACCCGCATACGCATACAACTACCGTAAACCCTATGAAGTCAGATTTGGGGTTCTAAATAGAAACTAACTTTCGACATTGTCTCGCTCGTTTGTTTAAATGGCTCACGAAGGCCTCGTCCTACGGCAGATTTTTGAGATGTCGTGTGCTTGTTTTCGCTTGGACGCATGTTGTTTGGGGATGTCTTCCGGAGTTTATTTAAAACCTCCTACTAGTAGATGTGGTTGCGCAGTACATTATTCTGTTGCACTTTCCGTCCGACTTGCTTTATTGTTTTTAAAACGTCTTGGCCTTTTATCATCGGCTACCCTAGTGCACTACCCTATAGGGTAGCGATGACAAAAAGCTAACGCGTACCAATTAGTGAAACTATGGGCTTTGTAATCTCCTCTAATTTGCTCAGATCGCTTAGATTAACTCTTTTATAATTGCTGGTGCAAAATACTGCCGAGTCAAGTAATTTGTGCTTTAGAGCACATCCCCCAGGTCTCGTAGTTTACTAAGTTGGACCTGTTACTTATAATTCTGTCGAGCTCTTTTTTGAAGGAGACTATCGAAATATATGGGGTTTTGCTTAAAAACATAGCTTTCTTTTCGGAAGTTCGCGTCCATTTATAAACGGCGCTCAGCCCTTTGTACTAACCCCATAGGTTTCAACCTTTCGGACCTTTTTGTGCCAAAACGCATTGTTTTAGGCAACGAAAACATTTTTTGCGTTACTATAAAGGACAGTTTGTAGCCGGTACCGCTTGTTTCGAAAGACACTCGTGGAGTATTTTAGGCTGCTGCAAAATAAGTTTGTTAATTTGTCTTGTTTTTACTGGACTCCAGACTTTATCCAGCTCATTGGGCTGACAGCCAGTTTTTTCTACATTCCTCTTGCGTCGCTAAACTCATAAAATCTGTGCGAACTGTAAGGAGTCTCCCGAAACATTCGGAAACCCTTTCGTTCCGTTAACTGCTCATACCTTTAGCTTTCGTCCAAGTTGGTCCTTGTAACACACCAGGGATTAGAATATGTGATTTTCTCATCAAAATCAGACTGATTGTCAGAACTGAATTAGTCCTTGATCCTCATTACTGTTAAGCACAGCGGTTTCGGGTCAGTAAGTGACACCAACGCATAGGGCGTTTCTATCATGTACGATACAACATACCTTAGTACTGCCAGTCTGTAGTCAATGCCTTACCTGTCAATATAAGATTTTCATATTCCACCGCACGGATACAAAGTGCTCAAGGGCTCTGCATCCCATTTGCTGATTTCCTGTTATAAACGGAGCGATATTTGTGTTTTGTTTGGCGACACCCTTTATGATTATGAAACAGTTGTTAGAACTATCGCTATCGCATGGCGAGGAAAGACTAGTGACTACACCTAATCTTCTTTTCATAAATCCCAGATGGAGAACCCGAAGAACAGTTGCCCATGAGGACAAATAACGCGATTCAAATTGTCATTAGGCATGACAGCTACTCAGCCGTGTTCAGTATCTTTGGCAATTGCCAAAGAGGCAATTTAAATTGCCTCAAGGTGATTAAGCCTATTACAGGTGCGTGGTGGACGCTTGCCTTAGGTTTTCATTCGACGCGACAAGGGCCTTCGTACCCGTTGATATGTTCGTCAAGTGCTCCCCACCAATTAACGATATTCCACCACAGCGCACCACACTTCTCCAACTTAGATCATCAGTATGATTATAAGCCTCGAAGCTGCTGTTTTCCGAAATCATGCTGATCCGATACAAGTTAACTGCAGAAATAGACTGTCCCTATGCGTGTTTTCGTGCGTCATAAGTTTACAATCGTCTTGGTAGAGTCTGTTTGAATGAAGAGTCGACTTGGTTCAGCGCTTCTGATCAGTTTGGCTGGCCTTCTTGCACAAGATGTCATGCACAATTATGCAACTTGTTAGATAGTATCGTATCAAAAGGTGTCGCCTGTTTCGCCGCCTTATTTTCTGAGTTGTCTTCTTTCAAGTCATAATTCCTCACCATTGAGAATTTGGCTCTTACCTGAATTCTTCCGTCTGATCCTGCTGTGTTTATCGCGGACTGGTAACAAATACGTTTGGTTTCCTTGCGTTCTCGGTGCCCTCTACTCATATTCATTTCAGCACTTCGAAATACTGTCTATCTTTACTTTTAGGTGGGACTAGAAGTTTAAAGACCCTCAGGGAACATTTATTTTCCCCATTAAACGTGTGATATGAAGATGAAAGGCGAACCCGTCATTGTAAGTCGCTCAGTGCCTACAACGTCTGCCTTCTAGCTAGAGGAAGGCTTTGCTGGTTTTCCGCTCTCTAGCTTTTGCATCCCAGAACGTTACGTGCCCCATCTGGAAAGTGTCCTAGTGCCTAACGGAATGATAAAAGACAGGCAATTATTCTTCTTCCTTTTGAGTTTTTTATTTAGGATAAAACGGATAGCTGCGGAGATCATCGAGTTCTTTGAAAAGGAGGGTATTACTTCAGTTTATATGTTGTGTGTCCTAAAGGGCGGATTCAAATTTTTTTCGGATCTGATCGAAGAAATGCAGCAAAACATCTGGTCCAGGAAGTCCAACATTTCCCTTCAAATTGAATTTGTGCGGGTGAAAAGCTACATAGTAGGGTCTTGCTTTTCTCACCTTTATTTTTACAGGACACTACGTCAGGCGACGTGGTAATTTCAGACATCGAGAGCTGCATCTCCATCAAGGGGAAGGTAGTTATTCCCGTTTACTTTTTACTATTTAGCACGTACTTGTCGTTGATGATCTTGTAGATACGGGAAAGTCTATGTTGAAGTTGAATGAATACCTCCGTAGCCTCGGGGCGACCTCAGTCCACGTTTCCTGGTAAGGACTTAAGCGTTCATTTGCAAAGATAATTCACATCTCAAAGTCACCATACACTCCTTCGAAGGGAAGCGTTTTAACTCATGCTTATTAATTTCTTTTGATATGCTTTTGATATGCTGACTATGGATTTTTTCAAGCCTCCTTCTAAAACGGACCCATCTCAGTCGTGGATATACGCCGGACTGTAAGTTGCCCTTAGTCGTTTGCTCCGTTTCCATAGAATATTTTCAAAACCGTTGGTTGTGTCTTGTGCTTTATGTCTACTACTTATCCTCCCGCCACTCTGATTTTTGTTCCACTGCAGACATGAAGATTATGCGCCTTCTGCAGTTTTGCAACATTTTTTTTACGATGACTTTCATATCAGCCTCTCAAAGCAGTAAGTGGGCTCAATCTGGGACCCTTTCGGCGGCCGCTTAGCCATTTGTAATATACGCAGACGAAGCCCCGAAGTACAACGGAACGAGTATGTGCCGTAGCGCGATCGGTGAACGCCCCTATCCCACAATCAATGCGTCCGATCTCAGTCGACAAGACAACGAGCCCGTGGCTCGTCGCTGCAGCGGCGATGTCTTACTTAAGAAAGAACTAGCCTACTTATATCAGTTATTCCGGTCCAATGGGTATCCGAGCAGCCACAGGGTCGTTGCTTGCATACTTAAAGATGATTTCGGCACTAGAGTCTTTTCGATGAACCCCTGTTTTGGATTGCCTTCTTCCTCTTTTGATTCGCGCAGTCCTATGCCTCGACGTACACAATCTCATGTATCATCAGAGTTGACCCTTTGTTCGGCCAAACCGACTGTTGCAGATATGGGGCGGTTGCTTTCATGATGCTGAGCGGCGTAGTACTGAGCTTCATGGTGGGGAAACTCATGTGCACAGTGCTCCACCAGTGTCTCACCGTGCGAGAACGTCTACAATGAATTTTGTCGACCTTATTCTCGATTGTAATTGAACACCCTGAAATGTCAATCCGATATTATTATGGTTGGTCTTTTTAATGACGACAAATTGGTCATCTACATAACGCAGCTACAATCCAAGTCGAATTAATGAAACGGCGGCAAATTATAATTTCTGCATTTCGACCTCGCCAAGTAAGCTAGATGTTGATGACTCCAACAGGAGCCCACTTCGGTTGTAAGTAGTGTTCTTGAACGATTGTGAAGTTGTTTACTAGACCTGGGTCTAAGAGTTCGAGTAGAGTAGCTGCAGGAACATCCGTGTCATGGGAGTGAAGGAGTTCCATGCATTGTTTTGCCAAATTTAGCCATATGGAAGTGGACCGAGGGACGACGTTGAAACACACCTTTATCTCGTTTGTCGGACTTGCGGATCTTCGTGGTTTATTTAAAAGCCATAGACCTCCCGAGTGAAGTTTCGCTATTCTCTGGATACGGGATGAAATTGCTTGAACAGTCAATCGGAAATTTCGGACTTGGGTGCACTGATTACCCATAGAACGTCATTGTTGTGCAGCCTTAGGATTCGTAGATCTTTCGATAGTTGGGCCAGTTTGTTTTGGGGACTTGGCAGTAGTTTCACTCCCGAAAGACGCCTCAGCAGTTTGTTATTTGGTAAAATCTTTACCTTGGCCGGATCCATGCTGAGAGGTTTATAAGTCGGCCCACCTGCTAACAAGAACAGAATTTATTATTGTATTCTGTCTTGTTCCAAAACGCAGCGGGCGAATAATAATGTAGGAGGTTTTTTCCTTCATCTGATAGCACCGAAAAGCCATTTGGTCCTCTAGGGCTTGTACAATACTGCTTTTGACCGTAAAGCGTCCGTTCCCCGTGAGGTTTGCTGGTAATATATGCACTCCAAGTTTGCAGGGAAACCTAACCAGTCCGAATCGGGAAGACTGTTTAATTCGTTTGGAGTGCATGTTCTCTATCGCTACTGTAAGGTTTCTCAGGGACAGATTTAAGACTTCCGTTGAATGCTTTTTTTCTCCTGCATGTGATGCAGTATATTGTGATGGAATTTGCAAATCTGCCCCTACACTCATCTATGAACACCAAAGGAGAGCAAAGAAACGAGATTACCTGTCTCAAATAGCCGAAATATTAGGAAATTGCCTGAGTTTAGGTGCGATTGGAATACGCTGGAGTAGGCTCATCTAAAACCATAATTTGCATCAAAGGCAGCATTCAGTAAAAAAACGGTTTTCTAGGGAAATGTTTAATGCAACCTGTGTGCCTTGGTGCCGTCACTTTTCCCCACGCTTGCCAGCCTCTTAGATATCTTTCGTTTTTATTCCCTAGTTCTGGGATTCGAAGTGCCGGATCGTTTTATCGTGGGCTACGCTATCGATTACAATGAATGTTTTCGGGATCTTTTGGTAACTATTTGACTTACCTCCTTCAAGCCTACTGCAACTATCAAAGCACAATCAGTTACTTGCCACTTTTATTTGATTTTCGCCTGACCGTGTGCTATGCCTGTTAAGGGCCCGAATTTGCATCTCTTATTATTTGCGCGCTCTGTTCTATCTTGCATGTGCCTTTAGTCAAGAATGACCACTTCTAACATAGCGTGCATCAGCGGGCAGAGTTGAGTGTTTCGGTCTGCCTTGCCTTTGTCGGTAACACCTATCGGCCCTTTGTTGGCTACCCTGATAAACCGCCCTATCTAACTCTAAACTCGAAGCCCCGAGCGACAGCAAGATCGTTCTTTTCCGTCCTGTTGTCAGGTTGGATCTGTAAACGTCACAATGACGTGGCTTTTGATCTGCGCATTCCGTCTTTGTTTCTCAAGATTTCTATGTTTGGCTTAGGGGGCTGCATTGCCAACCCTGCCTCCAGCCCTACCTTCTTTCGTGCAACACCGTATCTATTTCCAGTAAAACGGGCCACGCGGTAGATGCCTTGGACCGACACAGGGGCTAGATGGGAGTGCGGTAGGCGTTATCGGGAATACGCGCCCGTAACAACTTCCAGCATTAGCGGTGCGGCGACACTCCCAGTTGCGGGCCCACGCCACGCCAGTAGGGATCCGTACCGTCCCCTTTCTCTTGTTGTGTAAGATCCTGGTCAGCGTACGTTGTGGAAAGGGGATGTGGTGATACGCCAAGGTACGGGTTCTCGCCGTGCTTGCATCTGCTCCCCTCCCGCCTTCGGTCTTCTTGACTCTGTCTCGACACCTGGTCCAGATGGGGGAGAAATAGAGTGCAGTAGGTGCTGCGAAAGTCGACCTTCACTCTAAATTATATGACGCGCAAGTCACAGCCCATGCTCTCACCCTGCTGTGAAGCAAATGGTGAACATCGTCTGCAACGACGGTCAAACTGTATGTCTAATGACGAGGCAACTGGAGACAGTGACTTGCCAGCCATCCATTTCTTTCTGCTGCACACGTGCGGGAACCTTTCCTGTTATCAACCCGGACCCCACTCACAAATTCACAAAGTGCTCACGTTCGATTTCGCCGTCAGTCGAACTGGTTAGGGGCATGTGGCTGCTGAGCTTGGCTCTTTTCCGTTCTTACATGTGCGCCCCGGGTGCCAAAGCGGAATGACCTACTTTCGTGCAGTTGAACGTTCGGTACAACGGAATACATCAACGTGGTTATCCCTCACCAGCCACTCAACGAACCCCCTTTGGTGTCCACGTCTCGTCCGGTTTACATACTCTTGCATCCCAAATGAGTTTCTGTGCTTCTAAGATACCTGCGATAGGTTACCGTAGATGTTTAGATATCTCGATTTTTCCTGGCCTAGGAAACCTGACTTCAAAGTATTGCTTACGGAGCCATTCCTTTTAACCAAAGACAAATTCCTGTTTGTGCCAGCAACTTAGGTATTCAGTCCTTTCTTGTTTATGTTACGAGGGAAATTATCTGGTTTTTACCAATTTTTCTTCCATCTGTTTAAACTGTTTCCCACGGCTTGGCCTCTAATTCCCATGCCTTTATGTGTAAACGTATTTAATTGGGAGCCCTATAGCCACAGCTCTCATCTAAAAGACCTATCTTTATTGGATAAATACTACATACCTGGCACCCCCGCAATTTTAGCCCATTTTCATTTAGTCCGCTTCGGTCTGCTTTCATCTCTGGCTGTTCGCGCTTTAGGCTTGCAATGTGACAAACCAACCCGGTACTCTTGAATCACATTTACCATCTACGGTACCATTTAGGTTTGAGTTATACTGCCAACATTTGTAATGCTCTTGGGGTTACAGGATATCATACTGGCAGCACAGGTACTAGCAAGAAGCCCAAACACGCATGTTTCATTGATATTCTGCCGCTGCATGGCACAGCTGCGAAGGGTTCGGTTCATCAGTGGGTCCCCCAGCACTCCCGTGTGTTTTCTGGTAGATACTCTATTTTATAAATTTTTGCTCTAATTTCCTCAGAAACCAACCGCTAACTTGGAGCGAGTCTTCTTAAAATAAGACCTACAAACGCAGACCAAAATTTGACATGAATATTTGGACTTCGGTCCTGTGCTGCCAGTATGGTATCCTCTAACCCCAATATATTACTGCTAGCTGCCGGTTGCCTGTTGTTAATGTCTGATAAGATTAAAAAGCAACAAGTATAATGTTCTTGTTCTCATGCAACTGTACCTGTTGGCGTCTTGTCGTACATCACCGATGGAACATAGGTGTCTAGTTCTTCCCCTCCGTTCGTTATCGCAGGCGGAGTCGACATATGCCGATTCTCCGAAAAGGTTACTATTTGCTAGATCTTTCGGTCGAAAATTTACTGTACGGTCTGTTATCGGATACTTACTTGCATCACCTATTACCCTGCAGCATGAAGAGCATCTTAGAGGAATTTTTCCCTTAATGCACTGACCTGCACGTTTATTTAATTTTATCTATTTCTATTCGCTCGTAGCACATTTGTTCAATCAACGAGAAGGCCAAGAAGGTATTCGCAATGAACAATCGCAGCGAGTTGGGCTCTCTACCTCCCATCGACAGTTAGTGAGATCCGCGCATCACCTCTCCAAAAACTTATCCCTCTTCCCTCCCGTCCTGTCTTTCTGCCTGGAAAAGCGCCACGCCCCATGCTGCCCGTAGCAGTATTTGTCTGTCGGTACTTAGTGTTATTTTCGTATTTGTCGTATCGACCGAAATACTAATGCGTGCTTTGGATCTCTCCCGTTTTCGTATTTCCGCCTATTTAAATAAAATCTGTCTTGTTGTTTCCACATATATAGGTTCCTGCTAATAATCTGATCAATTCGATGCCTTCCTTTTTATGCATGTATTTTGTTTCATTCTAAGACTCCTAGGCTTTACATTCCAAATTCTGGGAGAGATAGACGTGTAGGGTTAGAGACGAATTTGCAGTTTTCGAGGCTATTTGGTAGAGCTTCGCCTCACTTTCAGAGAATTCATTTCCACCCAGTTTATATCGTTCTTTATTGGCTATCTCCCCAAAATCCCTTCGGATAACGTTGATTGGTTTAAACTCCATTGAGAGGGCGGTAGGGCTGGTGTCTCTTTTCAAGTCATTGGTGAAGTTACGTGGTCTTTCGCGTTCGACCGCACTTTCCAAGTTTGTTCACGTGGGCAACGCTGTGCTCTTACTTCCCATCAAATTTACTGGCGAGTTCTCTCTGGTCAGATTGGAAAAGTTTAGAGATCCGGGAAGATTATTAGAAAAAGAAAATTGGCTCTCCGGAACCGGTTTATTTAACTGCTGACGTTTAAAAGAGCCGGGTCTGTTGAAAATGTACTACAAAGTGTTTGCAACTGCATTTCGCGTTATTTCTTCTAGTTTTTACCGGCCGGAGATTTGGTATACTTCTTCGATAGCCGTCATGCTTTAGCGCCTAAGACGAAATCCGCCTGTTATTGTGGCTGACGGCTACCCAGCTCGACAGTCGAAAACAGTTGAGAAGTAGACAAGTTCGTTTGGCGAATAAACGTTCTCGACCCATCATCAGTAGCCTTACCAGGTGAGGGGTTTGGACATGGCACGCCGACTACCTCAAAGTGCTGCTGTCTGTGGGGAGGGTGACTCGCATTATGGAAAATACTGCAGAGGCGCCCGGGGCGGGGGATTTTCATTCTCGCCCTGGGATGCCTGTGCGAAAACTGCCGGTTTTTTGTTCTGCATTCAGTGCCCATCCGATTTTACCGCCCTAAGATCTGGGGTCTAACAGTTGTTTACTTCTCTTTAGGGTCTGCTCTATTCGACTCGCACTTATTCCTATGCATCTTACTAAGCCCTCTTCCGGAAAACCTAAGGCGCTTGGTGATTGGCGTACTCTCAGTGTCCTTTTATCGCCTCTAAAACGTCGAATAATTCTTATCATCAGTCCTACTGTTGAATCGCCGCCATGGCCTGCTGAAAGAGTTTCCCCGCACATCATGACGTCGTTCTCGTTTTTGGTTGGCGCCAACTAATCTGCACAGAAAAGCGAAAACAGTCACTAGGACTCAGTTGCTTTGATAGCTAACCGTGCTTTAAGAGGCCCGGAGAACTACTGTCGTGTGTAAGCATGGCATTTTTGATTACTTACGTGCTTTCAAGGCTGTTCCGGACGTTCTTAGCAAGATATACGAACACAACTTTTGCGGCTCCCCAGTATTTTGACTTTCCGATTGTTTCTTTTCCTAAATTCAGTTTTCCTGGTCTGGCGGCCGTAAACTTACTCTTCTCAATAACTCTTAAGCAGTATGGAGGAGAGTGCTTATTACCGTGTCCAACTCCATTTAGCCTGGTAAGAGAAAAATCTTGCATATTTGAAAGGGGCGCTGGTGACATCTTGTGTATCATTTCAAAAGGTAAACCTCAAATTATTCTAGAATTAGTCTTGGAAAGATGTCTGATCTGTCTGGTGGTGCCCTTTGTTAGCTACCCTCATCAACTCCACTTGTATTTCTTAGACTACAGTGTACTGAACTGATAAACTTGGGAAATATACACGGTAGAAAAGGCCATTGGGGTGGGGCTCATCAGGACTCTTCATCATATAAAAGTACTTTAGGTTCAAGGTAACATGCGGGGATTTACATACTCTTAATGAAGTGAAAACGTAACGAGCCCTGAACTTCACCCGGAATAATTGCTTCCTGAGTTTACCCTTTCATTGTTCTCAAACGCTCGGCGTTGTACAATCCACTCCGCCTTCATCACTAGCCAGGCCCATTGGGTCACGTGTCACCACTACTATCGGCATCTCGCCGGCGAGCTCACCTATCCGCGTGTAGGATTTTGAGCCACTGACCGACACCCCATCCCCATGTGCGCCAGAATTCGCGCTGTCCTCTCAGTTCTGTCTCCTAGTCCTCTGAAGATACTAGTCTATCTAAGCAGTGTAATGATTTAATTTAGTAGTGCATACGATCCGCTTCTCTATTTCGAATTGTGGCCCAAATAAACGGCTGGTCAGGCCAGCTGTTTCTGCAGTTAACCAGGGCTTGCTGTGCTTGGGAATCTGTTAGTGGTTCTTCCGCTCTGTTTGGAGTGTAGACCAGTTATACATAGTCGAATGCGGTGGTAGTGCATGCGTTTTCGACGGCTGCCATTATTTGCCGTTCTCGAAGGCTGGTGCTAAGACTGTTTGCAAAACATACTGATCCAGACATACCATTTGGAGAGGATTTATTTCATCTCTATCGTATTTAACTTGAGAGACGAGGGGTGGTGCACTTTTTCTGTAAAAGGAAGGGGGTCGGAAAAAGTGTTTACTTCGTTAGCAAAGCGAAGACTTCCACCAACCGATTGATTAATTCTACTTGTTTGTCCCAATTATGGCGCAAAGATTATTAGTTCCATGCTTCATTTTCTCAGAAAGTGTTTATGGGCACCAAATTTGTGGAGGAGACACACTGTAGTAAATTTGTAGCTTTCCACTATGTCTCATTCGGCTGCCGCGGTGTTTGCGTACCTATGGGAGAGAATGGTCTCGAGGTATCGCAGAAACGCCAGCCAGTCATGTGTGACACCTTAACACACCAAGCATCGTTACTAGGCAATCCAATCAGCTGAATCCGTCCTCCGAGGAAGATCGAGTTATCCCGTCGGTTGGCAGACGTCCGAGCCACGGCTTCTACCACGCCGTGGTAGTTTGCAAGTGCGTCAGATTGTTTATGACGAGGAAGCGCGATGAAGATGCAATTCGCAGGGACAATCTCTTCTCCCAGGCACCAGTCCGCTGTCCGAGCCGGTCATCCGTCTGATGCTGGGATTGGGCCCAAGTGGCTGGCGTGCCATCACGCCTCCCCCCCCCCCTTATGTGGCGTTTGTTAAGGGGTGCACGGATGCTGAGCTATCCGGTTATCGCATGACACGCCCCAATCTAGCCCCTGTGTTGGTCCCGGGCATCTCCCAAGTGGCCCGTTGTTAGGGCACAAATGGAAGACCACAGTGGTATGCGTAATGAGTCATCTGAAAATCTATGGTAGACTTTCAGCTGGACTAGGGGTAGACGGCTTATGCCAAAGATTCACTAAATCCCTCGCTCGTAGGTCAGAAGACAATGACTTATTGATGACCTGCCCTTCCGGGAGACCGAAGGAAATTTCGCTGGTGAAGGCCCGGCCACACGGTTGCATCTGTTTACGAGACGTCATTAGTGGTCTGTTTTTTTCTCTTCTCTCTTCATCTTCCCAGTGGATGCTGAATATTGATACAACAAGTAGATATTTCCCACATGCACGAAGGGGACCTGACTGGATTAGAAACAAATATTACGAATCCTTCTACTTCCTGTCCTAACGGCCGCCCCAGAAGTTTATTTGTCGGTGGCTTTAGGTGGCTCTTAAGAATCCATCTGACTTAAGGTAGAGTGCCTCCTAACATATAGGATTCTATGCCGTGGGCAGGAAATTGGAAAGAGAGACATTTTCAACCCCTTCGGATTGTGTATAAGCACCTAAAGTCGTGTGTTTTCGTAAAGGACGTCGCCAGAATGCCTGCTAGTTGCTTATATTATCGCCACACCAAGAGCCTTGGCGACATGAACGGTTTACTGTTTACTGACTTGCACAAAACGTTCATAAACTGTTATCGTAAGCGAGACCTAACGGAAAGCCAGTCTCTCAGGAGCTCTTAAAAGTTAAAATATGTCCTCGGAAGTTCGCTACTCGTCTTTTTTCATTCGGAACTGCGTCAAAATAATTCAGATTCAGTCTTTTGTTTTCCTCATCAAAGACTGCTAAGGCGGGGAGTAGAAACTACAAACCTCCTTGTCAAGAGGCAGACCAAGGAAAACACTCGAAAAGGAGCCAAGAAGGTCTCATTCTGACAAAATACGAAGACCCGCCTAGTCTAAAAATATCTTCCCGATGGATGCTACCCACTGATGCATTGAAAACCTGAGGAATCTGAAATTAAAGTTGTATTATGTCGGATTTCCAAATTCAAGGTGTGGTCGGAAATGTCCACCGTTATGTGATCTTCTCTTTCAATTTCTTTTACTGGATGAGCTGCTTTGATTAGGCTACCTGGCTCACCTCACTGACATCTAATTGGCGAATGATTTCGCGTGTTCATGTGAGGTTTCTTCTTCGATTTTGCAAACTGAAATATACCGTTTTACGAGTATAAAATTTGTAGCGGACGTTATTTGCCACAAAATTAGTACAAAAAGAATATTTTTGTACATGTTTTCTGTAAAAAAATTTTTTGCCATGGTAAGGGCATCGAAAGTCGATGGAGAAAATGCATACCACGCAAGTGGTCACTTTTTACTGAGGGTGTATTTTGCAGGTGGCCGAAAAGAAGTGCATTCAAAAGCCAACATACTGGGGTGTCTGAAATACCACGAGACTATGCTATCGCGACGGCTTAAGCCGTAGGTAGACCCTAATCGCTATGACCATCGGCCCAGTTCCGAACAGGAAGAGAAGAAGTGGGGCGCCAGTTGGGAGGATATTGTATTCTGTACGAAACTATTAGAGAGGTGGTTGGTAGGAGTTGGGAGTCGGTGAGGGCGCGTCTGATGCCGCGAAAGCGGCGTCCGCAAATGT